TGCTTGCGAGTATTATTTTTTACAAAAATATATATGTAAATATAACCAATTGTAGGAGCCAAATGACGTGTCTAACACAATGCCTCGCCACACCTCTGTTTTCATCTGAGTTATCTCCACAATCATTCCAGCCATCAAATTTTAGATCCTTGCTGACACAGCGCTGCATATGTTTACATTTGAACTCTCCTGTGTAACAAGGCCCTAAAGTGAATAAAAAAAGTATCAGTCAAATGGTAAACTAGCCGTTGTAAAACGCTACGGGGATGGTAACTTGAGATATAGACATGATTTTTAATAGTTTTTTTAATTACTTAAACTTTTTAAAATATAATAGAATCTCGTAGAAAAAAGAATTGAGCACCATGTGAACAGCAAACTATGTGTGTATAATAGTGCGGAATACTATTACTTTATAAATTCATATATAAGTATTATATCAAATTGTTTGTTCTTAAAAACTTTTCAGCGATTTCCGGTAACCAAAACTTAGGTACTGTTTCTGTTAGATGGACGGAATTTCATCTAGTTCTCTGTTTTGTATCATATTTTGAGAAATTTCCGGTGATTGTAAGTAGTACTCAACGCTGTTTACGATTTCTATAATAAATTATATGAATTCATTATTTACTTGATTCCTTCGTATTTCTACCGTCATGATCACAAAATTAGGGGAAAAATCTCTTCCAGACCGAATTATTTAGGTTTTCTTTTTTATACACACATTCTTTGTTGTTCATTTGGTGCGCAATTCTTTTTTCTACGAGATTCTATTTTTTTTACATTTAAGTATTCATTTTTTTTAATTAAAAAGCATGCTTTTATCCTGAGTTGTTATCCCGCATAGTGTAATATTAGAATACTAGCAATGGGTATCTGTTTCACGCGAATAATAGGCCTATATATTTTTAATGTTTTAGGCACTACTTGTTTGGAAATTATTTTTTTATAAAATAGTTTTTACTTGAACGATATTAGTGACAAAACAAAGAAATATCTAAATAGCTACAAATCCGACACATTTACTATAACACAGGTTACCAATACCTATTAGAAAAATTAAACCAAATTATATACATTATTAGTCAACACAACACCATATTATATGCACACACTGATAAAGACACTTAAATGATTCCGGTCAAACCCCATATGGTCAAAGCTCCGCTGTGGTCAAACCCCCTATGGTCAAACCCCCTATGATCAAAGCACCTGTCGTCAAAGCACCTAGGACCCCAAAAGTCATGAGACAGATAACTAAGACAGATTTGACTTATAAACTGGGTACAACAACCCACCTAGGAGAGAAAACCCAAAAAGCAATCAACATCTGTCTTGTTGATTGTTCTCGAGTATTCAAAAACTATGTTGTCAAATTAAGAAAAAAAACCCAGTCATGTTGACGCATAATATGTTGACAAATGATACTATTTTAGTTGGAGGATTTCTACCTCAGCTATTCATTCATAAAAGGAAGAAGTTATCAAAACTAAAACTTACAATAGGGTCTAAATTCGTTGAGATGCATTTTGAAGCCTTGACCTTTGTAAGCGCTGTTTCTGTATAGACGTAATATCAGTGGGGATTTCTCAATGACAGCCGTTTGATTGGTTGTCTTTTTTTGCTCCTCCCACTCACGCGCTTCTCCGCAGATACGTCGTCCATCTTTGAGAGGAAATAACAATTATTAATAGACAGAATAAACCGGGATTGATCTCCCCTAAACTTTCTCGAATATTCTAATATAATATTAGCAACTCGGGATATAGACAATATTTTAAATCCATTTTTAATTACTTAAACTTTTTATAATAGAATAGAATCTCGTAAAAAAAAAGAATTGCACACCAAGTAAACGACAAATAAAATGTGCATAGTAGTGCGGGATATTATTAGTACTTCATAAATTAACATTAGCTTTTGAGAAATCGGAAATAGCGTAAATCACTACTTCCGGTCGACGGAAATTACTCAAAATTTGATAGAAGGCAGAAAATTAGATCATTTACTTATGTGTGAAATTTCATTTATCTATCTGAAATAGTACTCAAGTTATAGGCTTTTGAAAAATTCAAAGTAGAAAAAGTTCCACTTCCGGTTGTCGAAAATCGCTAAAAACTTATACGGATCTACGATTTTGATATAATACTTACATATGAAATTTCATCAACCTACCTGTAACGATAATCAAGTTATCGTGTTTACGCACACACAGACAGACAGACACACACACACACACAGACATACGGACAAGATTGCACAACCGTGTTTTTCTGACTCAGGGAGCTGTAAAGAGTCGAGATCTGAAAAAAATCTCGATTTTTTTTTTGCACGATTACAAGACTTTCTCTGTACTTCGTATATACGAGAAAGTAAAAATGTACCTGTCTTTGTAAGGCCCAAATATTGTGCTACTATTATAATCATCATCTCCTTTTTACGTCCGAGCGCAAGAGACACGGAGCAGATAAACTAGAGGTTAACTGATTCCATGTTCTTGGCAAAGCTAGGTATAATGTGGTCAGCTCTATGCCTATCCGCCTTTACATTCCATAACGTTATAGGGCTGGTAATTAGGTCACCAACTAGTTCTATAGCTGAATAAAACCTGCATGAGCCATAGAACTGGTTGGTGACCTACTTACCAGCCCTATTCAAGTACCCTACATTGATTGGTCGACTCTGGACGTCTTACAGACTCAATTCAGTGATTCAACCTGAAGATTTTAGTGTTAGCAGTTGTGAAATTGTGTTAGAGTGTTTTTTAATCGTGTTGTTTGCTACTGTAAGTCTATCAAGATTGATAAACTAAAATTGGAACTAACATCTACCAATGATCCAAAACGAAATGCAAATTTTTTAAACAATTTTTAATAAAATGATAAATTCCTTTTAAATTTTATTACTGTAAAAACAGTTGTTTGGAGTTTAAAAATTTGACTATTATGTTATGGATTAAATGAATTAATGAGATTTAAACTAAGTTAGATGGACACGTTGGATCTTTCGACTGCTAGCTCTAATGTCTCGTGTTCTTGACACATTGTCATGCTCGAGACGGTTGAATGGCTCTGACTGAGTATTTGACTTGAGGTAAGTAAAGATGGCTGAAAATACTTCTAGACACATTCTTTAGTAAACAAATTATGTACAAATTATGAAAAATTCTTCTAAAATTGCTCAATATTTTATAAAAGAAAAAACATGTATTGAGTAAAATATTTCTAGATGGATTTTTGAGGTGTTAACTATGGGGTGGTCATATGGGAAAGATATGAATAGCGATGACCAAATTGTCCCTTCAAATGTCGAGGTGGCAGAAACAGATGAATAAAATTCATCTGGCCCATAAACCGTTAAGTTCGAAAGCGTAATTATTTTTTATTTTTATTTAAAGTTTGAGTGAGTTGTAAATCACATTAGATTTTTTGCTAAGGGAAAGTAGTAAAGAGTAGAAAATTAACAGCTTTGCGCCGTTGTATTTCTCTTCAATGCGGCGAAAACAACTAGTATTAAAGATTACCGTAATACTTTCGTCCCTCCTGATCAAAGATCTCTAAGCCCGTGTCACAAGTTGTTCTGTTAAGAGTCAGTGGGATGATGTCCACAAAGAACAGATCGACTAGAAGGTGCATGCCCCGGGTGAAGGTCACGGAGATGTCACAATGGATATCGCTTGAAGGATCCTGGTAAGGTTTAAAGGACGCTTGCATCTGGTATGTTAGCACTGCAGAACGGAACCACGTTGATTCGTATGAGGAACCACATGTTATAGTTGTCTGATCTGTGGATAAGGATTAGAAATAAGAAAAATTCAAATCCGTTATAATTGAATGAATTTATGGTATTTTAATTAATTTAATAAATATGTTACATTTAAATATTCTTTAAACATTTGAGACTGTATAAATATAAAAATAATGTATAACATTAAAAATGCGTTTTTGATACTTTAGTAATTAACAGGAAAAAATAATTAAAAGCTTATTTTTATAGTTATTAAAATGATTGAACATATATGTTTGTAAAAAATTATATAGTTACTTGTCTTATATGTATATTATTGTTTGCTTATTAATTAACTAAAAAGTTATTCTAACCTTAAAACTAAATGTAATTTAACTGAAGCATAAGCTTAATAACTAATCGGCACAAAAACTAAGATTACTAAACCATAACTAAAAAGAAAAATCAATGACGTATAGCCGTTTGGTCTTTAGTCTTGATGATTCATATTATTATTTATATTTATCTTCATTCATTGATTTGTATTAATAGTAATTCATATATTATTGTCGATATATGTTTGTGAAATACTGGGTTTAGAATTAATAACAATTGTTCTTATCTAACGTATCTTTCACTGTTTTAGAAAAATACTTTGGGTTTTGCTACTACACGCCATTGTAATAATTATTATGTAGGCAAAAAGGCCACTAATGCTTTAATTGTTGATTTAAATTATCTGCGTCTACAGAAATAAATTGCATGTTCAAACTGCTAGAATTATTTGTCACTAATACAAACAATTAATTAATGACAGCAACACAATATAATAAAATATCAATTCATGTCGTTTTTATTTTAAATGAAATAATTCTTGGCAATAAAATCCAATAAAAATAACATTTTAACACATTAAAAACAATTTGCTTCAAACTGTAAATACGGGGGACCTCAATGAAATGCCATTAAAAACATAATTAGAAAAATGAAATACGCTGGTTGTATGTACTGTAGTTATTAAAGAGTAAAGTAATGTTTGTATTCTAGCTCTTATGTTGAGCTAAGTTGGATACCCCAAAATTTTAATGCCACAAACGAAACGTACGACGGCAACATGAATCTGTTAAACATTAAGTTAACCCTTGTAACTTACCTAAGGAGTTGACGCGTATAACAGATGTGGATAAAATTGAAAACAGAACCAGGAAATGAAGTCTCCGTGTCCTGGCTTGGGCAGCCATTTTTGGAGTACTATTCCTGGCGTCCTTCTTACAAGCTGGAAATGTGCGACACTACGACACTACCTGGCCTGGCCCAGTTTTCCCATGAGCTATGCATACAAAGATTGGTAAATACGCAGTAGTCTCAATTATTTCGCATCACAGTACTTTGAAAGGGGATGTTAAGTATTTAAAATGTGTGTGCATTTATATAAAAACATGTGTGATCACTAAGTTGATGGTGTGTTGTTGTTTTTTTAATTAAAATTTCAATAACTTTTTTTTTTTTAAACTAGAATTTTAAACTTAAAATCCAAAGGTCCTGCTGCCTGTGAATTGAATAAAGTGTAATTTATAACCAATGGTGAGCATTTTATTTTAACACAGAAAAACACACTAGATGGTTTCTGTCAGTGGCGTAACCAGGAATTGGTCATGGGATGGGTTCAAAAATATTTTTCCATATGTATACAATTATATATATATATATATATATATATATATATATATATATATATATATATATATAGTATATATAGGTTATATTTATAGGGGTGGGGGGTCCAAGGGAGGGGTTATAAACCCCTCGCCTACGCCACTGGTTTCTGTGACCTCAGCGTATGGAGAAATAGTGAAGTCAGCAATATATATATATATATATATATATATATATATATATATATATATATATATATATATATATATATATATATATATATATATATATATAAGTTATATTTATAGGGGTGGGGGATCCATGGGAGGGGTTATAACCCCCTAACCCCCCCTTGCCTACGCCACTGGTTTCTGTGACCTCAGCGTATGGAGAGATAGTGAAGTCAGCAATATATATATATATATATATATATATATATATATATATATATATATATATATATATATATATATAGTATATATAGGTTATATTTATAGGGGTGGGGGTCCAAGGGAGGGGTTATAAACCCCTTGCCTACGCCACTGGTTTCTGTGACCTCAGCGTATGGAGATATAGTGAAGTCAGCAATAAGCCATTTCCCTAACTTAAGTCAGGTACTCATAGCCGGGGACTCCAGCCCGAAATAAAAAATCAGGACTTACGGGTTAGCTGTTGTGTGCTCTATTATTTGACCATTCTGCCCTTATCTTTTTGTTGTCATATAAATCAATAAAATTAAGAGATGGCGAAAATTGTATGCTGTATGTTAGCTGGCATTTATCCTTAGTGAAGCGACTCATGAATACATCGAGAAAACATTAACCTCCACGAAACACATGAATCCTAGTACCAATATTTCATCAATATGATACACTGCGGCTCCTTATGCTTAGTGCATCAGCAAATGACGTGGGCGGGATAGGTGTTAAGAGAAATACCCAAAGTGACAACTGTTCCAGGTTAGTTATCTATACCTTTTTTAAACCCCTTAACGCCGACTGTCGCGAAAACGCTACTTGCCGATTCTGCGCTTACCATATGCGCATAGGTACATTGGCTAATTTAGGATTTTAATTAGATTAAAAATGAGATATTCTTACATTTTCATCGAAGCCAATTATATCGGAAGAAAAGTGCTGCTTTAGAAGTAGTCAAAATAGATTTCAGATGTAAAGTCTTCGGGCTGTATTGAGAAAGATAGTGTATAGCGTAGCGGTGCGTCTTCAACTTAAGAACAAAGTAGCGTGGGTTATTACTTTAGTAACAATACTGGCTTAGCTGCCCAGCCAGGGATTGTAACTGGAGCGGCGCCCTGTATTATGAGAATTACTTCCCTTTCAACAAGCGCTCCAATTTTGATTACAACAAAAAATCACTGCATAAAATAATGTATTAGTCAAGTTATAGATTTTGACTTTGTGAGTAGTAAGCAGGTAATTATTGCTAATGTGTTTCTGCCAGGTAAAGTTTCTTTACTACATTTAATAAATTTAAAGTAAAGTAGGTCTACCTTTTCGAACCTGACGGCCAATATATATATATATATATATATATATATATATATATATATATATATATATATATATATATATATATATATATATATGTATATATATATATATATATATATATATATATATATATATATACATATATATATATATATAATATAATATAATATAATATAATATAATATATATATATATATATATATATATATATATATATATATATATATATATATATATATATATAATTTTTTGGGCAGTTGTCGCATTCGGGCAAGTGTCCATTCGGGAATTTGTCGTAGACCCGTTGATAGGGGATGTTATATTGTTGAATATAAATACAATAGTAGGCTATACAGAATGGAAAACAATTGTGATTTTCATTGCTTTATACAACCTGGCTATTTAGGTTCAATATGTGAATTGGTTAAATAATTCAAAACGGCTTTTCAACGGATTCTATTCAATGCAAAAATATGAAAATGAGTTAAATCGATGGTTCCTAAACAGCTTTAAAGTTGAGAAATGTAATTATAATTTTATCGCTTGTCATCTTGTTTTAAATATTTCAAAAATATAAGTACGATTACATAGACTTTTCAAGCCTATTGACTGCTTGTTTTCTCACTTATATTTGCTGCTCAAGATGTTTGTTATGATGCATGTTTTATTATCATAAATTGGAACGAACAAATGTTTGTGCGGATGTATAATGAACGAATGAAACTGTCTTGCGCATAAGAAGATTGAGCGTTATTACTAAAAAATGAAAACTAGGGAGTTCGGGTTATGATGTTGATGTGAGAGATGATCTGCGTCCTGTTAATGACTAGTCCACTCGAAGACATGACTGATGGTAGTAGTGGTTTGAATAAGGACTGGAGTAGAAAAAGATAAGTGTCTTATCAAGTGTAATCACGCTGTCTGTGAGCAAGTGATAACATATGAGAAGGGATTTTGGCACTGGAACGTCCACTGTGGTTGATAAGGGTATGGAAAGGTGAAGTCTTCTCACAGCAATCTAAACAATTTGTATTTTGTCGGGGGCGGGGGGGGGGGGGGATATAAATTGTCGATCTAACGCAAAGAAGTGTGTAATAAATATTTCAATAGCGATATTGAAAGTAAAAAATAGAGTTCATCTTCCAAACCTCACGGTACATGGAGCCAGTGAAGTAGATTTCACCTGTCTCTGAGACCTCGGAATATGAAGGGATAGTGTGGTCATCACTATGACCAGGCGCCTTTACACTATGACTCAGGGACGGTCAAATTACCTGAACGCGGATTCGAACTCGTGACTACGGGTTAGCAGTCTAGCTCTCTACCGCTAGGCCACTCCGTTCCATTCGTTATTACTGTAAATATAAAAATTCAGAAATGTTAAGAGAATATTTTTTTTCTTGAATACTATGGCTTCAGTTTATTTTAATCTGCTTTTAGTTAAACAAGACTTTGCTGGTGAAAAAACTATTTTTGTAATCATTATACTGATCTTAAAGGTTCTATAACAAAAACAACACTGGCAATAATATTATTCAGCATTCCAGTTTGCCAAAAGCTTTACATTTACATAAATGTATATATAACTAATAGCAGTAGCCAAATTAGGTGTTGAGCGCCAGGGGTCGCCACACCTCTGTTCGTGTCAGCGCCAGGGGTCGCCACACCTCTGTTCGTGTCAGCGCCAGGGGTCGCCACACCTCTGTTCGTGTCAGCGCCAGGGGTCGCCACACCTCTGTTCGTGTCAGCGCCAGGGGTCGCCACACCTCTGTTCGTGTCAGCGCCAGGGGTCGCCACACCTCTGTTCGTGTCAGCGCCAGGGGTCGCCACACCTCTGTTCGTGTCAGCGCCAGGGGTCGCCACACCTCTGTTCGTGTCAGTACACCCAGCCTCTTCTCTCTCATCAGAGCTATCCCCACAGTCGTCCCATCCATCACATTTAAGATCATCGTGGACACAACGCTGAATATTCTGACATTTGAACTCAGATCCGTAACAAGGCCCTGGAGTTAATAGAAAAGTTTTCATAGAATGTAAACCTAAAATGTTAAACGTTTTGGTTTGAAACTAAAAGAAAAACATTAGAAGTTTTTCGTAGTGTGCAGTTTGAATAAATTTTTTAGAATCATTACATCCATAATGTAAAAATAAGTTGGGTGATTTTAAATATATTCAAATTTTTGTACGACAGGCCAGTGGCGCAGCTAGGATTTTCGGGCCCCTATGCAAAAAGTGTTAGTGGGCCCTTCAGAGGCGTAGCGACCCTTCCCGGCGACCGGGGACAAACTTTCAATTTGCACCCCCCCCTCAGACTTTCGATTTGCACCCCCCCCCTTACGACTTTCGATTTGCACCCCACCTCAGACTTTCGATTTGCAACCCCCTCAAACTTTTGAAAAATGGCCCCTATTTGCTTTGGGCCCCTATGCCTTGCATACGCTATCTTTACGGTAGCTACGCCACTGCGACAGGCGTAAATGGGGATGTGGCCAATACTACACCCACTCATCTTTACCTCCCCCAACCTGAGTCATGTACCCACCAGGGCTGGATGGGCTTAGAAAAGCCCTTCTTATTGCTTTGTACTGACCGAAACCTAATTGGTTAATACCAAAACTAAAAAAAACAACTTACAATAGGGTCGAAACAGGTTGAGGTGAACTCTGAACCCTTCACCTCTGTAAGAGCCGCTACTGTATAGACGGAATATGAGTGGAGAGCTCTCAATGACAACTGATCGTTTGCTAGTCTCCATTCGCTCACTCCACTCTACCGCCTCACCACAGATACGGCCAGCTGTGACAGAACAGAAAAGTTAATTCTTGCATGGAATTCAGTGGGGGAGTGAGGCAATGTCCCATTCACGTCCTTCCCAGTCGAAATATAAAATACGAGCCGACCCGCGGCATATCATACGCGCTATTTAGTTGTTTTATTTTCTACTTTTCAGTAATTAATAATTTGTGAATTCGACAGTACCAACGCTGCCACTGAAAATATTTGCTTTAAAACACTATCAGTAGGTAGTTAAGGACGATACTACCCCCACCCTCCTCCCCCTACCCTAAATACCCCCCCCCCCCCGTGAAAGCATCCTCCTCTTAGTAACCTCCCCTAAGTTTAAATTCGTTTCAAACTAAATTATCTGCCCCTAATAGCCGTCACTAAACCCGTCTCTACGATTGTAAAATTTTAGCGTGAACCACAGCTCACCAGCCCATGTGGGGGTGGGGGTGGTTGGGATATGCTTAGAGAGGAAGAGAGGGGACTGCTAGGCGCGCTTACAGCTTGCTTTCTAACGTCTTCAAGAAGAGAATTATATATATATATAGATAGATATTGTTTTACCTTTTTCCTCCTCCCTACAAACCCCCCCCCCCCCGGTATTAAGTGCCATAGAAATTTAAGCGCTGCCATAAAATTTCAAGTGCTCCTTGGAATTTTCGATTGATCCCCAGAGAAAGTCCGAAAGAAACCCTGATGAAATGGTATAAGTATTTATCATTAACTATTAAATAATCCACATGTCTAGTCCTTATCGCAAACATCTATGAGACTAAATTAATTTTTCTTTCACATTGATTTTGTAAATTGTAGGAATGGATTCTCTCCATCACAATTAAGTATACGTGTCAACTTGTTAAGCGCCATTCGTTGACTTCGATTTCAGCCTGCTTAACTTTTTGGATTTGCTTCAATAGCCATAAACAAGAACAAACTACAACAAACTGAGTTCTCTCTCCTAGAAGATTTGCTGTCCCCAGCTATCGAACCTCATCTGCTCGAGGGTTCGAACTTGAGACTTTTCGGTCAGCAACCATGAGCTTTACCAACTCGACCACGCCAACCTAGTAATTCTATCAATCAGTGAGCTTTAGACTTAGTAAAATTATCTCTAAGCAAAACAGATCGTAAGGTAACAGCTTCTATTCAACGGGTGAAACACAACCTAGCATTAAAGATTACCGTAGTACTTTCGTCCCATCTGATCAAAGATCTCTAAGCCAGTGTCACAAGTCTTCCTATCAGCAGTCTGTGGGATGATGTCCACAAAGTAGAGCTCTATAAGAAGATTTAAACCCGGGGGGAAGGTCACAATGACGTCACAACGTGTGTCACTTGAGGGATCCTGGTAGGGCGCCATAGACTCTGGCATTGGAACTTCAAGCAGTGCAGATTGTGTGTTGGTCTGCATGAAATCGTATACGGAACCACAAGTTCCGTCAAATTGGTCTGAAAAAAAGTTTAGAAATCTAAAAAACGCAAATCTTTTATTAAAGACTTAATTTAGAGTATCAAATTGTGTAAACACGTTAACTTGAGTACCCTTACGGCTAGGCTGATGAAATTTCAAATATAAGTATTATATCAAAACCGTAGATCCGTATCAATTTTTGAGCGATTTCCGATAACCGGAAGTTGAACTTTTTCTACTTTCAATTTTCAAAAGCCTATAACTTGAGTACTATTTCAGAAAGATAAATGAAATTTCACATGTAAGTAACATATCTAATTCTCTGCCTTCTTTCAAATGTTGAGTAATTTCCGTTGACATGAAGTAGTAATATTCGCTATTTCCGATTTCTCAAAAAAAAAAAACACATGAGAATTTATAAAGTACTAATAATATTCCGCACTATTATGCACATTTTATTTGGCGTTCACTTGGTATGCAATTCTTTTTTTCTTCTACGATATGTCATTGTATTTTAAAAACTATAAGTAGGCCTATTTAAAATGGATTAAAAATTATGTCTATATCCCGAGTTGCCATTCCCACTAGTTTCATATAAGATTATTCGAGAAAGATTAGGGGAGATCACTCCCGGTTTATTTTATTAAACAACCTTTTCACTGGTTTTCAAAAATACTTTGGGCTTTTATACAACAAGTCATTTCAAAAAATGTTATTTAGGCTACTAATGCTATATATTGTTGGTTAAAAATGCTTAAGGCTTTTGCTAAAAACTTTTAATTTTCTTGATATAGACTTCACTAAAAGTAACCGTTAGTTAATTGCACAAACACAGTATTATTAAATCTTATTCATCTTTGCAATGAATGCAGTAGTTTAGTTGTCTTATGTATAATAATTTAATTCTAGTTTTATAAAACACACAACTTTATAACACATTTCAAGCAATTTGCTTTATACTGTAAATACGTGGGACCATATTTAAAAACTGTTTTAAGATATAACAGAAAACCAGCTGCTTTACTGTAGTTAAGTAAAGCAAATCAAATGCTTGTTTTTTCTATGCTGATGTTGAACTGAGAAGGATACCCTCATATATATATATATATATATATATATATATATATATATATATATATATATATATAACAAAAAACATCTGACGGACGAATGAATTTGAAAAATGATCGAACATAAACTCCCTAAACTTGAAGTTAACGATTGTAACTCACCTAGAGAGTTGACTCGTACAACAGAAGTTGATAAAATTGAAAACAGAACAATCGAATAAAGTCTCCATTTTCTCGCATGGGTAGCCATTTTTGGGGAAATGATCCTGGCGTCCTTCTTACAACCTGGAAATGTGCGACACTACGACACTACTTGGTCTGACCCAGTTTTAACTGGGCTATGAATACAAAGTCTAAGATAAGTTATCAATAGATATTTAACACGTTGAAAGACAAACTGAAACTTGTAATAAAGATATTCAATACCATCCAACAGAGGCGACCCATTTAGATGCTCTGATCGAACTATCAATGTTACGCCTCCAAATCAAACACTAGTTAGTCACATATGTGAAAAAAGCACCCCCCCCCCACACACACACCAATTGAGGAAATCAAGCCAAGTAGCAGTCTATTTTCTTATATTCGAATAAGCGTTTTATTTTTTTCCTAACCTATTTGGTGCTCCCTTTAGGTCAGTGCCCGGGGCAGCCACCCCACCCGCCCGCCCCTAGCTACACCACTATATCGACAGCAGTATTAAAATTTCACCAGGGAAGACAAAAATTCTGTTTATGTAGAATTAATAATCTAATAACATTAAAAAGATACCGTTGAAAGGAGTTGACGTACAAGCCTATAATTTTCTAATTATTTTCGCTACTTTCTATCAGCGTTCAGGAAATCTACATATTATTAAAACCGACCACAATATTTCAAAATAAATCGACAATCGATCCAGGTTTTAAATTTTCAACTCTTTAAAGGATATGTTGTAGTATTAATAAAATGTTGCTGGACCAAAATTTATTTGGTCTCGTGAAGACTACGATAGGCTACTCCAGAAGGCGTTCACCAACCCCCCCCCACCTTCCTCTTCTCCAAAAGACACATAGAGTTTCTTTCTTCACACCCTCACCTTCCCTTCACACACAGGAACATCTCAACCCCCCCCCCCCCCCCCCAACCCCAGTAGGTGATGTCTCCAGTTTTGGAAATCACTGTCATGTGCCATAGAGGACAAGCCAGTGGTTTTTAAAAATAATATTTTTTTTAAAACCTGCATTTAGATCGCGAAACAAATAAGCCGTTTATGTTTAGAATAAGGCGAAGACGTGATCTGAATCATTGGTTCTAGTTTGATATTTTCTATTTTTATATGGAATGAACTTTAACATTTTATAAACAGTCAGTCTAACCTACTATCTACAAACACACACACACACACACTTACATACATACACACACACACTTTCACACATATACACACACACACTTACACACTTACACACATACACACGCACAGACACACACATGCACCCACACACCCACATACACACGCGTACACACATACAAACACATACACACGCACAGACACACACACACTCACACACACACACACACACACACCATATACACCACACACACACTTTTAATGCCGATACTCTTTCTACTATCGATTTCACGCTAGTATCGTTACAACTTTTAAAAAACTTAACACGTTCAAGTGTCAAGTACCCTTCTAGTATCACGTGTAATCATTACCCCATCTAGTATCATTAGTAATTGTTATCCCTTGTATTTCTCATAGTAATCATTACATCCAGAGTTTCTTCCAGGCATCTCCGAGCGAGATGGAATTTATATAGTAAACATACTCTTTTACTAGTGTCCAGCTCCCCGAAAAATGTTGACCGCCCCCCCCCCCCCCGAAAATATCAAGTGCCCCCCCCCCCCCCGGAGGAAAAAGTCTGGAAGAAACATTCATTACATCTAGTACCATTAATTATCGGTACCCCTTCTAGACTCATTGGTAAGTGTGATGACGCAAGGTTGCGTCGAGCTCAGGTAGATAGCAGAAGCAGGCTATAGCAAGTTGGTCAGACTAGTCAGAGAGAGAGACCAATAAAAATACGCGAACTGACCGGTCACGTGGGAGGGTCAGCTGACCACTGAGGCGTGGGTCAGTAGTAGAGAGATAGGCCGGCAGTTGTTAGGTAGCGGTCAGAGACGGCCGAGAATGTAGATAGTTAGGAGATCATGATTTGCTAGCGAAGGTAGAAGATGTTAGGTTGTAGAATGTAGAGAACAGTTAGTGTTAGGATTGGTCATGGGAGTGCGTAGTAGTAGGTAGCATGTGGTATGAACAGTCAGTAGTAGAAGTTAATAGTACAGTGTAGATCAGTTAGGTAGAAAATTGATTATATACATTTGAATAAAGAACATTTTGATTTTCAACTTGGAACCTGTGTTGGATATTTCTGTCATCATCATTCATTCATCGTAAAACATTCGTACCATCACAACTGGTGGGTGATTCCATCATCAAAACACCCCCCACCCTCACAGTAAGCATTACTTTTTATGTGTCCTTATTAATCATTAATTGTCATTACCACTTTTCAGTATGATTATTATTCTTCAACCCATCTGTTATCATTATAAACACTCTGCCAGTACCAAAATAATGATAATTTACCCCTCTATTATCATTATCAATCATTACACCTCGTTATTTAGTTTTCTTATAATCTTTAAACCCTCCGCTAGTACCAAAAATAATATAATTATAATTATTATAATTATTATAATATACCCTTCTAATATCATTAGTTATCATCACGCCTGCAAGCATCTAAAGCACTCTCTTCGGGGGGGGGGGGGGGCAGAGCCCAACTAAATGGAATTTATCTAATAAAATATATACTTTTACCCGTGTCCGCCCCACACTACCCCCCCCCCCCCCCGAAAAATTTAGTCCGAAATTATCAAGTGCCCCATCCAACATCTCCACCCCCCACTCCCCCGGAGAAAAAAAAATGTCTGGAAGAAACACTGCTCTATAGTAACGTTTACCACAATGCCAGCCCTGTTCCTTAGGTTCCAGCATAACGTGACCGTGTTTACATTCCTAGCCCGGCTAGCCGACGTGAACTACGTGAACTACGCGAACTGACGATGACCTATTTGTTTGACCCAGATAGTGTTGGTGCATTGATTATACCTACAATACGAAAATCACCATTAACCCCTATAGTCCGACAGTAGACTCTTCTAAAAAAATAGGTGTGTTAGGTTATACAATCAGATTTATTGAAAAGGTCAGGAGTAAGGGTTAGAAATTAATTTGGATTTGAGTTAAGGACAGAGTTTCTTCCATGCATCTCTTCGGGGAGAAAATGGCTCTGACACCCCCCCCGGGAAAATGTCAAGTCCCCCCCCCCCTGGACATTTTTTTTTTAAAGAAACCCTGGTTAAGGATTGGTTAAATGTTACAGGTTAAAGGTTAACACGTGGAAGGTGTATTACTTTTTAATTTACTAACAGAATATTAACACCCCCTTTTTAGGAAGTGTCCATTCTAGTGGCATTATACATATACAGACTATGATACAACATTTAATTCCACTCCCTCTTTCTTTACCCTGCAAGGGTTACACACTTATTTCAATCTAACCCAGTCTCACTTAGGTCAAGGCCATTCATATCGTATCCAGACGGCAGTTCTTTGGCCTACTCAACGTCTACTTTTTTTTTTTTGCTCAGCAAAAATCGCTATCTCATCATGACGTTAGGTTCAGCCATGTAAGCGCGTATTTGATTGGCTGACAGCTGACCTATATAAAAATGAGTAACCTATTTTATCTCGGATAACTGCCATTGCGATATCTCAACGTTTAACGACTCTTTTTGAACATTATTCTCAACGTTAGCAACTCTTCGTGAGTGGAATTGAAGACGTCAGTAAGATGGCGAATGAGACCAAGAAAATTCCTACCTTACCGGAAGAAATGCTGAAAAGGTTGCCTAAACTAGCAACAATAACAGACAGGTAAGGTTTTTCCTATTGACAGCTGTAAGAAAAATTTGCTGCAAACCAAAATGTTTCGAGTTTGAATCTGGGTCCAAGTTGAACATCCCCGAGTTCACTCATCTCTGATGGGTACCTAGCTCACGTTAGGGAAGTTGAAATTAGTTGGCATTGTGCTGAGTGCTGACCACACTATTCCTTCATATGCCGTGGTCAAGAATTATGAATTCTACTTGGTCTGTGTATTGGATTGCTAGGTCTAAAGAGGAATCTTTATGATCAATCCTGGCTCCGCCATTTTTTAAGCATGAACTGTCAGCATTTTCGATCTGTACTATTTTCCTGCCATATGGACTGGATTATGAATATTGTGACCCTGGTTTCTTTGATGCCAGATGCGACCCAAAACAACCTATGACCCGTAGAACAGAAGCACATTGTGTTATTTGGCATTTTGCGACCCATTTTCGTCCTGCTTCCTTGACACCGTGCCTTGTGGGAATATAAAAAACATTATAGCTTTATACGGGAATAGATACCATCATTACGCTAGGGGTTATGCAACTATGCTGGCCACCAAAAACGTGAACTTTGACCCCTCCCTTCTACCCCATCTAGACACGTGTTAAATTGGACAAAACAGCCATCCATACTTGAGGTAGATTTCCACATTTAACTACACATATACTCATTAAATATCATGAATTACGCATGTTAACGATAATGTTGTGTTTTATTCCAGGACTAAATTTAAAAAGTAGAATCAATAATTTAATAAGAAAAATTATTAAAATATATACAAAGACGAAGTACTGCACGCACTATACATATATTTGTCATAAAGAAACGCTAAATGGGATAAAGTATTAAAAAAAATAATTTAATAGTTACTTCCCTTTATTATGAAAGCTAGATCAATGTTTAATCCCCTAAAATATCATATATTACAACTAAATGCTCGGGCAGATGAGGCTCGTTAGCTGGGTACAGCCACTCTTCTAGAAGAGACAACAACAAAATTAAACTGCTGCCTTGTAAACTATGGAAGCAAACCCAAAAAGAAAAGCAGGCTGAAATCGGAGTCAACGGCATCAAAGGCGCAGAACTAGTTGACACGTATACTTCATTGTGTTGGAGGGGATCCCTTCCAATACTAAAATTAAGAACGCAGAAAAAGAAGAACAAAAACTAAATGTTAAGTATTTTACCCACGGTTCGTATAATTTTCTGTCTCAGGTTCGGCAACACGTTCCATTACGGCAATGCCGGCGGCTACTGGCATATCCCCTTACCCCTTGGTGCCGACACTGACTACAGGACACACGCACGCAACATCATTGACATGGAGATACGCCCTGATGATGTCATGATC